GAAAATGTAATAAAGTTATTGGTATTTATTGTAAATAAATGTTGAATGGTAAGTAATAATTAAATTTTGATTTGTTGACTTTGCCAAAATTAGTAATGAGATAAATTTAGTAGACAGATTAAGGGTGTGTTTGTTTGGGGGATTTTGTGGGATTTCTACTATTCCCACAATTTTTCCTCCAAAAATATCAAATCAAACATTTATTTTTCATTTTTTATATTATACTAAAAATCAATTTTACATTCAAAATATCACATCAATTCTTATTTATATCACATCATACAACTATTCAAATTCAAAATTTTTACTATTCAAATCCCAACCCAAAATCCAAACCCTCAAACAAACACACCCTAAAAAGAAAAATGAGAATAAATTTGCCGAACATAGGGAGAGAGTATATTGAGTTAGGATGGAGTGACTAATATTACATATTAAAACTTAGAAAAATATTATGTAAACAAAATTTCATTTCTTATTACAAGAAGTTTTTCCTTTTTTTTTTTTTTTTTTTTTTTAATTCTCTTAAAGTTTAATTTTGTTCTTTGATTTTGAATTTTAATTTAAAAAATAATAAAGTAATAGTACTATTTTCATTCGATTTGAATGTATTCATTTATTTTAAAATGTAAATTTCATAATTATAATATATTTTATATATGTATTATAATAGAATAAGGAATTTACAATTTTACTTTTCCAAAAAAGTTTTACAGCTAATGTGTCGATACATTTTCAAGAGATTTTAGTTTATTTAACAGAGTTTTTAACTGTTTTATCAGTAAAATAATATAATTTAAGTGTTTGGTAAATTAGTTTTTTAAATAATTTATTGGCCCCAAAAAGCTCATCTTTTAAAGTTATATAATCCAACATTTTGAAAGAATTTTTTCATTTTTAATATTCTTTATTTCTTATTTGCCTTTAAAATGTAATTATTTGTTTCACATATATATAAATATATTTTTTATTGCAGTAATTACAAATTATGTTAAGATATTATTTATTAAGTTATAATTTTATTTTTATAAATTTAATTTAATTAACTTTTATATATAATTAATTTTATTTGTTAACTATATATATTTATTAAAATAAAATAAAAATAAAAACATAAATACACTCTCCCTCCATCCGGTTGAAATGTTACAATTTTTCATTTTCGTCAATTCCAAAACAAGATTACCTATTCCAATTTAATAATTGTATTACCTACTTAATATAATAAATACCCTTTCAACTTACAATATATTACACAAATACCATTACTTTTATATTACACTATACTAATAGGGTATTTTTGTCTTTTTCACTGCAATCCAATATAATACTAATATTAAAAAATTTACGTGCAAAAAGCAAAAGCCACCGTTTCAACGGACGGAGGGAATATTAATAATTTATTGTTATATTAAAATTAATACAATAGAATAAGTTTATTAATAAATATTAATATAATAAATTAATAAATTAATCAATAATTAATATAATAAATATATATACAAAAATTTTATTATTTTATATTTTACATCATTTTTTTAATATAAAATATTCATATTTCTTAATAAAAAAATATATTATTTTTTTTTATGATTGAAATTAATAAAAAAATATTTTACTACACAATCATAATTTCGAATAACTAATAACAAAAATTTTAAAATTTTTACAACTAAAAAAACACAATTAAAGAATTTTAAAAATTAAAATATAAATGTCCTCAATTGTTATTTTACATATAAATAGCTAATATCAATCATTTATTTTACCTTAACACTTTAATACAAACAACTAATTAAATCAGCTAAACACTAACCGTTAATTGAATCAGCTAGCAGTTAAAAGCTAACGGCTGATTGCCAAACAATTTATGATAGATAACATAAAATTTAGATTACAAATTTAATTTATGATAGATAACATAAAATTTAGATTACAAATTTAACATATGATGTAATAGCTACATTGTAAATACTAATATAATTTCAACATATGATATACATATATCATATATATATATTCATACAGTACATTTTATAAAATATGAAGAAACATCACTTAAAAACATGTTAACATGTAAGTTGTGTTTTTTTTTTGGGGGGTTTTAACGTAGGTTTTTATTATTCAATTTTTTTTTCTTCTAAAAAATCAAATTAAATAATATATATATTTTATATTATACTGTAAATTTATTTTACATTCAAAACATCACATCGATCTCTATTTATATAACATCAAACAACTATTCAAATTCAACTTTTTACTATTCATAAGTCCAAACCCAAAAACTAAAACCCAAAAACAAACACCCCTGTATAGTTTGGTTTGTTGAAAACATACAGTGAGTGAAAAAAATGAACATAATGTTGTCACTCAAAAATCTCATTCGACGACTTATTGGAGCAAGCGGTCGAAAATCAGGTGGATTCTTCAATTTTCTTAAAAAATGATTCGAAATCGTATTCGGAAAAAAATTAATTAACGAAATGAAGTGGAAAAAAGAAAAAGAAAAATAAACAAATTAAACAAGTTTGTATTGATTGTTTGTGAGATTGTTGAAAATAATTTTTTTAATGTGAAATATAGAAAATTGTGTAGAAAATATAAAAATAAGAAATACTAATATTAATTCTTTTTTTTAAAATCGTGCCGAAAAAATATATAGAAAGAAAAAAGTCAGAAATAAATTAAAATGAAGTAAATCAACAAGCTTAGGAAAAAATATGAAATTGAAATTGTATGGTCTTGGACGTGTCATCCTTCAAAATAAACTACATAATAATATATATATATATAATAGTATTTATTATCAAATCTAGATTTAACTGAGTTTCTATTTTATCCGATATACAATATTTTAATAAATTATTTAAGATTAAATAATATATTATCCTAAATAACATTTTGAGATAACAATAATATTGATTTTTTTATTTGATTTTAATTTTAATTTTATCTCAAATAATATTTTGGGATAAGAATAATATTGATTTTCCACTATTATGATAACAAGTGCCAAATTTGATTTTAAATGTATTAAAATAAAAGTTTTGTTTATCCGATAATTTTTAAGTGATATGATTTCTAATAAATATTATTAAAATATACAATATATAACATAAATACTTTATTGATTTACAAAATATTACTATGTTTTACTCTATCTATCCTGGCTATTTATATCACAATGTTCGAATATAAAAATTAAAAAATAATATATTTTTTGTATAAGCCACAGTTAGTTAATTTACTTTATTGACAAAATTTTAAAAATCAACATTTAAATATTACTTTGCTATCAACCTTTGTTTATAACAAATAATACTCATTTTATTACATTCTATCTTTAAATATCTCTAAATACTTTTTTAATTATTTTTACTTTATTAATAATATACTCTCTTCATCTACTACTGAGTTTATATATAATAAAAAATAAAATAAATATTGTTTTATTTAGAGAAAAAAAAGGATAAATATAAATTTACTATTAAAAAAATTATTTTAAAATTAAAATAATTTTTTTAATAGTTTATAAATATCACTATTATAAAATAAAAAAACTAAAATAAAATCCAAAAGAACATAATCATAAAAAAAAATACAAGGGATATACAAGTTTTCTATATTTTGATGAATTCAGAATGATTTTTTATGAAGAATAAATTACTATTTCATTGGGTGTATTAAAATGTTACCGTAATTAATAATTTTCTAACCTGATAAACCAATAACTTTTTTTTTTTTTTAAGGAATTAGATATAATAAAGATATTAGAGAAGAAGATGCAAAAAAAAAAATTAAATAAATTGCAGGAAAGAAATAAAGAATAAATTTAATTGAAATGTGTGAATCTAAATTTTTAAAATAATTACAATGCTTATTTATAAAATTTAAATGGTACCTATAAATTTACGTTATCCTCAATTTTATTAACAATGCAAAGAAATAAACTATTCCATATCGAAATAAATACATTTATTTTTGTCATTTTTTTTATATTTAAATTTGAAAATTATTTCATTTCCTAAATTAGAACAATTTTTTATAATAAATATAATATTTTTAATAATGATTTTAATAAGCACACGTATGGACTTTTAAAATGGATAAATTTTAAAATTCTGACACCCGTGCTAATATATAACAACTTAATTATATTAATAACATCCTGTCAGTAATTTGGGTGATTTCTGCATTAGTCTAAGCTATCTTCATCAACATTTGACTTCTGCATAAGTTTGGGCGGCATCAATCCGAGCAATTTCTGCGTCAGTCAGAACAACTTATGCATTAGTTCGGGTGCCTCCTGTATCAGTATGCAACTTCTGCATCAGTCCTGGCGCCATCTGCATTAGTCCAGGCCACATGTATTTGTTCGGAATAAGTCTGGGTGGCATCAATCTGAGCAATTTATGCGTCAGTCAGGACAACTTATGCATTAGCTCGGGTGCCTGCTGCATTAGTCTGAGCGCGACTTACTTATATGCATTAGCTTGGGTGCCTGTTGCATTAGTCTGAGCGAGACTTACTTATATGCATTAGCTCGGGTGCTTACTGCATTAGTTTGAGCGAGACTTCTGTATCAGTCTGGACGTCATCTGCATTAGTCCAAGTTACATGTATTTGTTCGGAGCCTTCGGACATTTATCTGGTGATTTCTGCATCAGTCCGGACGTGTCGTGCATGGCGACTTCAGACGCCATCTGCATTAGTCCAAACACCACCTGCAGTTCTGAAAACTTCGATATTCCATCATTGACAGTATATATGATCGAGGCGAACGAATATTCAAGCTTTATTCGAGCTCCTTTCAATTTTTATTTTCTAATTTTAATTTTAATTCCCATATATCACTTTTTTAAATATTACTATTATAAAATAAAAAATCTCAAATAAAATCCACATGAACATAATCCATAAAAAAAAAAAAAGAAAAAAAAAAAAAAACCTTTACCGTCACCTGAAGAAGCACATTGGTTTCAGCTAGGTTTTTATATACTCTCAAACCCTAACATTTCTCGTCTTCGTCTTCACCGCGTCTTGCGAGGGCTCCTCTCATCTCATCAACCCTAATCCATCCAAGACTTTCTCCTTTACTTCCAAGATTTTCAATTAAGCTTCCATACATTTTAAGCGAAATCTTCGGAGCCATCAATCCACCCTTCTTCGATGTCGCTTCAGGGTGCAAACGCAACAGGGAAATCCAACGGGAGACCCAACCAATCGGGCCGCCGAAACGGTAACGTAGAGGGTGAGTGCCACAAGAATGGGGCTGTGGGGACGCCGCCGACGTACTCGACTCACCGGCTGAGGCTCAGCCCAAATTCGGATCACGAGCCGGAGAATTACGAAGATTTGGAGCTGGAATTCAGCCCGCTGCTCTTTAGCTCGTTGGAGAAGTATCTTCCCGCGCATATTCTCCACCAGTCGCGCGATGTCAAGGCCGAGTACATGCGCGAGATTCTTCAGCGATACTATCCGGAAAAAGACCGTGCTAGGGTAAGTGGATTGGCGGAATTTCGTGATTTTTTCATCGATTGAGTGCGTTTTTTGCGAGATTTTGTTTGCATGTAGAGTCGATGAATTTTGAGGTTGCTATGTAGTCGAGATCACGACGTGGTGCTGTGCTGTGATTTGCATGAGTTTGTTCCTGACAAGAATTGTGTGGTCGAACTTGGGGAAAATGTTGTTGCCTTACTTGCAATTTGTGATCAATGGATATGGGTAGAATCTTGTGATTGGATGAAGACACATCTGCTGTGAGATAGAATGCTGTAAGAATTCAAATACTTGATTCCTTCTAGAACAAAGCGCTGGCTCTTGATTGGAGGAACTTATAAGATAATTTTCAGTACCTAATTTTAATCCATTTCTTGTTGTTCTATACATTTGAAACAGAGCTTGTTTCGTCGAGAATTTACCCGAAAATCCTGTACTTAAGCAATGTGTTTGTTTAGAGAAAAGAAAGATTTGATGCATGATTGATTTTTCAGTAGATTAAATTTCAATCCATTTCTTGTTGTCCTATGCATTTGAAACAAAGCTTGTTTTTGCGGAGAACTTACATGAATATCCTGTACTAAAACAATGTGTTTGTTTACAGTAAATTACGATTCAATGTATGATTGATTCTTTGTTAGACTTTCTCACTGATGCTGCCAAACTTAGGAGAGGCAAAATATAGATGTTTCAGGTGGTCTTGTATTTCTTCTTTTTAAAGTTAGGTTGTATATAACATGGGTGTGGAATCGGGTTTTGGATTTTTTGCTGTTCATAGGCTTTGAGAAAGATTATTTGCTACATGTTATACTCTGCCGTGACTGAGAATGTACACAAAATGTGTTGGACAGATTCAGAAGCACAGAGAATACCGGCGGAAGATTTTATCCAACTATCAGGTACATTTATGAAATTATTGATAATTGGTGTGTAATCGAAACATCCGTTTTTAGATGCATGGGTCCCATAAACAATCCCTTGCTCGGAGCAGTTTGCAGTTAGCTTTCTAGGGTTCATATATAAACTTGTGATCCTGCTGTATGCTACAATCATTGTTGTGGCATGCTGATTGGTCGAGCTGTCATTGCTGTGGAGCTTACTCTGTTTCTCTTTTACCGCACAAATCTAACAATGGAGTCCCGTCTTTGCAGCCTCTGCACAGGGAACTTTATACCCTCAATGCTTCAAACTTCTTTGTTCCTTCGTTCATCGAGGCAATCAATGAGAACACTGAACAAAGTTTTAGAAGCATACTGTCTGAACCCTCTCCAGGAATCTTTACTTTTGAAATGCTGCAGCCGCGATTCTGTGAACTGTTGATGTCTGAGGTGATTTGTTCGTTCCAACTATGATTCAGCCTTCTGACACAACCCTTTCACAGATTTTTATTGTGCTCCCTCTTATCATGTTTCTAATTGCTCAGGTGGAAAATTTCGAGAAGTGGGTCATCGAGACAAAGTTCGCAATCATGAGGCCTAATACAATGAATAAGTATGGTGCAGTTCTTGATGATTTTGGTATGGAAAGCATGCTCCATAAGCTCATGGAAGATTTCATACGTCCGATGGCAAAAGGTTAGTATTTTGCTCATTTGCAGTAGAATCTTGAATGCTGACTAAGTGTTGGTTCGAGTGTTGACTATTTCAATTGAAATTTATGCAGTTTTCTTTGTTGATGTTGGTGGACAAACACTTGATAGTCATCATGGATATGTTCTTGAGTATGGATTACATAGAGATGTTGGTATTGGTAAGCATCTTAATCCTGAGTTTTTCTTCCTTGATTCACAATCTTTTACGTTTGGGAGTTTTTATAAGATTTCCACTATTTGTAAAATACTTTTCCTAAAAAACATCACACCAAATATTAATTTTTTTATATTATACTAAAAATTAATTTTAGCTTCAAAACATTACTTAACACTTGTTTATATCACACCAAACTACTATTCTAATTCAAAATTCAAACACTAACTCAAAGCTCCAAACAAGTACACACTTAAGAATTTCTTTGTTTTCCATGTTTCTGATATTATTGTTATTTTTCCATTTTTTGCTGAATTTTCAAACTGTGATTTATGAATTCTTGGGTTTATTTGCTACTTCTTTACTCTCTTGGTTTATGTGTGTTTGTTTGGAGGATTGGTTCAGATTTCTACTATTCATCCAAATTTTTTCCCCCAAAAATATCAAATCAAATATCTATTTTTTATTTTTTATATTATACTAAAAACTAATTTTACAATTAAAACATCACATCAAAACCTGTTTATATCGCATCATACAACTATTTCAATTTAAATTTTTTTATATTCAAATCTCAACTCAAAATCCAAACCCCCCAAACAAACACACCCTAAACACAGTTTAAAGGTGTTTTTGGATGTGGGCCTGGGGTTAAGAATAATAAAAAATTGAATTGCATATATGTTTGATGCGACATATTTAGGTGTTATATGTGATGTTTTGAAGTATAAACAAAATTTTGATGTAATATAATAAATACTCCTAAAATCAAAGTAGTTCATTTGATGTTTTTGAGGAATATATATACCCGAACACAAAGTATACTGCAGATAAAGGTACTTGGGCTTATATCTACTCTTATCCACTCTATTATAACCTGTCATGAAGTTCGCAAGTACTATATTCCTGTCAACATTGATGTTAATCCATTCATCATATTATGTGGAAATTTTGCTACCTATAAATCACAAACATATATATATATATATTTAATTCTGTAGGTTTCCATGTGGATGACTCGGAAGTCACCTTAAATGTTTGCTTGGGCAAACAATTTTCTGGTGGTGACCTGTTCTTCCGTGGTGTCCGGTGCGAAAATCATACAAATACAGAAACACAGCCAGACGTAAGTAGTTTTTTAATAATTCCCCTGGAATTGAGTTTCTTTCAATTCATGTTAGCCTAATCCAGTCGATTTTGATAACTCGAATGCAAATTGTCTCAACTCTTTTTCTAGGAGATCTTTGATTACTCCCATGTTCCGGGCCGAGCAGTTCTTCATCGTGGTCACCATAGGCATGGTGCTAGAGCAACTACTTCCGGAAGCCGGGTGAACTTAGTGCTATGGTGTAGAAGGTATAAATTCATTTGACTACACATACCTGCACCCTGTTTTCTACTGTTTACTGTAAAAACCTGAAACCGAACCTTGGATACGACCCACTGTTTTATGGTGCAGTTCTGTGTTTAAAGAGCTGACTAAACACCAAAAGAATTTCTTCAACTGGTGCGCAGAGTGCCAACGTCAAAAGAAAGAACGACAGCGCTTGTCTGTGAATGCTACCAAAATGGTAAGAATTATTAGCATGTTAACTTTTTGTTTATACCTAGAGCTGTTAAACGAATCGAGTAACTCATTAGCCAAGTTTGACTCGGTTTATTAACCGCTCGATTTGATTCGTTTATAGACAATTGGACTCGATAAGCGAGCCGAGCTCAAATTTTTTACTTTTGTACACGAGCCGAGTTCGACCTTGGCTCCACGGTGCTTGTTAGTAATTATATAATTGTATTTTTTTATATATTAATATAATATATAAATTTTTATATCAAAATTTACATTTATTAATGAAATTTAAAATTTTATAATAATATTGTATTTATTTGATTTATATACTTCCTTCGTCCCATTTAAATGTACGTTTTTGAGGTTTTATAGCAAATTAATAAATAATACTAGTACTTTATTGATTGTATGAAGTGTATAAGAGCTTTTGATATTTTTTCGTTGACTGACTTTATATATAGAATAATTGTATGTGTAATGATATTTTTGTAATTTAAGTAAAAATTATCGATATTTTGATATTAATATATAATTATTTTTACTAAAATAAGAAATAAATATTTTTTTAGGGGGACAAACGAAAATGGTAAAAAATGTATTTTAGCTCGGACAAAGGGAGTATTAAAAAACATATAATATATATGAAATTTGATCCCGAGCCCGTGCTCGAGTTCGATTTGAGCCACCGTTTTAACTCGAATCTTAAACGAGCCGAGTCGAGCCTATACTGATAGCATGTTCGAGTAGCTCAGCTTGTTTAATAGCTCTAGTTTTACCTTTTTCTTGAATGGCTATTGAAAACTTCTTCGCCCGTTTTTTCAGGAACTGTTAAGGCGAGTCGGACAAACTGCCATATGAACTTCTGATCATGGTATGCTCTGCTGTCTCAACCTGTAAACTATGTTTTACATATGCGCCGGAAAGAGGAGAAAGTAGCGATATCTCTAGGGTTCGAAACATTTGTTACCTTTTGTTGTCTGCTTATTGCATATTCTCAGTATGTCCATCCTTTACATCTGATATAATTTGTGGGTATGATGGTACCAAGAAGTTTTCTGGATTTTATTACCTGAGGTGAACAAGAATGGTGCCTATTGATTTGGATGGTTTTTCTGATGATGACATTTTTTGTCTTTCTGTTCTTTTAGAATTGTGTTGAAAAATTAGTGTTTTATTTGTTTATTGTATATGGCATAAGATTGTAATTAGCATGACAATGGTCTAGGGTGGGAAAAAACTAAATACTGAAATATTAAGGATACCATACCGAAAATATCACAATTTCAGTATACTGAAAAGTTCGGTACAGTACGATACTGTGACGGTATATAAATTGATATTTTTGGTACGTCGGTATATATTAAAAATACTGTATATTATTTTGATATTTTGGTATTTGATATAATTGTATATACCGATAATTTTGGTATATTGGATTATACAATGTATATTTCTATTATATCAAAACTTTTGATATATCGAATTTTTGGTTCGTTATGACAAAATACCTTGTCGAAATTTTCGGTATGGTATTATGAAGTTCGATACATCGTAATAGCCAACCCCTACAATGGTCAATGAGCATACTACTTTAGAGTGCATGGTTAGCATAATTAAATTAGTGGGCTTTGTGTGATTATTACGTTTGTTAATGTGCTGATTATAACTAATTGTGAGTAATTTTGCTAAATAAATAAATAAATATAAGGGTGTGTTTGTTTGGGGGATTGGATTGGATTTACCCTATTCATTCAATTTTTTTTCCCTGAAAAAAACATCAAATCAAATATTTATTTTTTATTTTTTATATTATACTAAAAATCAATTTTATATTCAAAATATCACATCAACACCTATTTATATCACATCATACAACTATTCAAATTCAAATTTTTTACTATTCAAATCTCAACTCAAAATTCAAATTCCAAAACAAACACATAATCCAAACCAAGACCTACTATATAATGTTCAGAGTAGGAAAAAAACCATATAAAAAGCACTTATGGTTTAAAAATGTGAGAAAATGCACTAATAGTATTTTTGTTAATCTTTTTGAATTTTTTTTTAAAAATGAGTTATTGATTTGAGTTTTTTTTTTTTTTTAAATAGTATTTTAATGTGATATTTTGTAAAAAAGAATAAAATAGTAATATATTTTTATTGAAAACCGTATGAATGAATAATATTGAATTAAATTTAAAATGGTTAAATAAACTACATTTTTTAAAATAAAAGCTATTTCTAGTTAGATAAAAAAAAACAGTTACAATTTTTCTTTATAAATTAATTAAAAAAAAAAAACTATATAAACAATTAAATCAATATATTTTCTATTTCTCACATAAATGTATATCGTACTATAAAATCAAACCTATAAAACCAAGAGAACAAACAATTCAAAATTTTCTCTGTAAATTCAAATTAAACTTGAACCAAAATTTCAGATTTTTTCTAAACTGAAACCAAACACGCCTAAATACTTACATTGACAGAAAAATAACTGATGTGATAATTTTGAATAAAATATATATATATATATATATATGATATATTGAGAAAAATAAAGTAAGCTGAACAGTAAAAATAAAAGAACACAATTAAATACATTTTGATTGTTTGTAATTTTTTATTTTATATATTTAATATTGATGTTATATAAGTGAAAAAAATAATCACTAGATGTAATATTGATATATATATATATATATATAAATGTCTAATGCTTCATATTTAGAAAAGAAACTAACACAAATCTATAGTGTATAGTATTAAATTAAAATATTTTGGATTGGTTTATTTGAAGTTTGTTTGTGTAGCTTAAAAATAATGACTTATAATATAAAATAATACTACCTCCGTCCGGCTCTAAGGTCTCACTTACTTTTTACGTGTTAATATTTGAATATTAATTATTATATTAAAACGTAGTACAAATTAAAAAAATATAAAAAATACTCCAATTAGTGTCTTATAATACTAATATAAAGGACATTTATAAAAATTTTTTTATACAAATATAAAAATATTTCTAATATCAAATACAATGATGCAAAAAGTAAATGTGACCATTAAAAGCGGACGAAGAGAATATATTTTAATTAAAAATTAAACCTTCAAATTTACAGAAAAATCAAACACCAAAAAATAAAAATAATTATAAAATACAACATAAACAAAGAAATAAGAATCAAGGCCACATAATCACAAACAATCAAATCAACAAATTATTTGTTAAGTTTGGAGTTTCGTACCTCTAAAATTAGCGAAAGAATCCAACAAATGGGATATTGGATAGCACAGTGTAACAAGGTCTAAAGTTAGCCGATCCCTAAAATATTAAATGTCATTAAAATTAAATCTCAGGCAATATTATATTTGCAAAAAATCAACTTAAAAAAATCTCATCAAAACTCTCGAATCACAGAGGAAGGAACTCGTCAAGAAGATTTTTATAATTGAAACCACACCTAAAATCACACAAAAAGATAAATGATGAACATATATAAAATCCTAATATTTGGAAAAAATAAAGTAAATTGAACAGTAAAAATAAAAAGAAAGAACAAAAGTGTATATATTTTTATTTATTTATTTATTTTTATTTTATATATTTACTTTTGATGTTATGCAAGTGAAAAAACAATCATTATTAGATGTAATATATATATATATAAATGTCTAATATAAGGAATTTTTTTTAACATAAATCTAGAATGTGTAAGTATAAAACTGAATAATTTGAAATTTGTTTTGTGTTAAGCTTATATATTTATTTTTTAGTAATACTTTGCGATAAAAAATAAGATATTTTAATAAAATATTCAATATGAAATTTTTAGATAAATCTAGCACCAAAAGACAAATAATTTGTAAAATTCAAAAGAAATAAGAATAGTAGAGCATGTAATAACAAACAATCAAATGAACAAATTATTTAATAGATCTGGAGTTTCATACCTCTAGAATCGGTGAAAGAGCCCAACAAATGAGATATTAGATAGCCTCAGGCTTCCAATGTGATCAAGTTTGAAATCATAGATTAACCTTTAAAACACTCAATTTCAGCAAACGCAACATTGTTCTTACTAAAGATTCAATTAAAAAAAATTTCATCAAAACTCTTGAATCGTAAAGAAAAGAATTTGTTGGAAAGATTACTATAATTGAAAGCTACTACGGGAATCATACAGGAAAAAAAAAAAAAAACACTAATGAATTGAATATACAAAAAACCCTAATTGCTCAGGAGAAAAAAAAAACTCACACACAAACATAATAGAATAAAATTCAATTGACAGATAAGATACCAATGAACAAAGTGAAACTAAAAAAATCAATGGTTAAAAGTAAAATAATCAAGTAGACGATTCAAAATTGACGTGATAAAATGAATTTGAAGACCACACAATAACAAACAATCAAAGGAATAAATTATTTATTGGGTTTGGAGTTACATACCTCTAAACTTGATGAAAGAACCCGACCTATGAAATTTTGGATAGCCTCGATCTGACAAGGTCTGAAGCCAGCAAATTCAATATCTAAAATATTCAATTTCAGCCAAATTAGATCTCCGACAAACATAGTATTTGCAAAAAAATTCAAATCAAGAGAATCTCATAAAACTCTTGAATCACAAAAAGAAGAAAATTAACAAAAAGATTATTACAATAAAAAATCGCATCTGGAACCACATATGAAGAAAAAAAAAAAAAACTGAACATACATAAAATTCTAATTGCCCAATAAAAAAAATGATTTACACACATAATAAAATAGAAAAAATTCAATTGACAGATAAGACACAGATGAATCATGTGAAATATATATTAAAAAATCAATAGTTAGAATTCAAGACTTATTGACCCAAATAGAACATGCTCAATTTATTTGATTTTGTTTATTTATTTTTCATTTTTTCATATGCATAAAAAGTTGATATATCCGCATACACTACAATAATTTGGAGATGTTTATTTAAAATTTATTTTGTATTGAACTTAAATATTTATTTTTTAGTTATATTTTATATAAAAAAATAATATATTTTAATAAAAAAATTAAACCTGCCCAAAAAAAGACGACGTAATTACAAACAATCAACGGAACAAATTATTTGTTAAGTTTGGAGTTTCATACCTCTAAAATTAGTGAAAGAATCCAACAGATATTGGATAGCTTCAGTTTGACAAAGAAATCAACTTATTCAACCTTTAAAATACTTCATTTCAGCCAAAAGTAGATCTCAGACAAATATAAAGTTTGCAAAAACTTTAACTCAAGAGAATCTCGTAAAAGTCGTAATCACAAAGGAATAAACTTATGGAAAAGATTACTACAATTAAAAATCATCTCCGAATCATATATGAAGAAAAATAAAATGAATTGAATATATAGAAAACCCTAATTGCCCAACAGAGAAAAAGTGATTTACACACAATATGATAGAAAAAATTCTATTGACAGGTAAGATACAGACGGATGTGGTGAAATATTCAACGGTTAAAATTAAACGGGTGAAATTAACGATTCAGATTTGATAGAAAAGAATTGAATTTAAATTATTAATAGGTGTAGTTGGTATGGTTATAAAGATAATGGGTCGAGTCAGAACTTAGTGGCCCAATATGACATTCTCAATTTATTTTATTTTATTTTTATTTTATTTTATTTTTATTTACATGAAAATTGATATATCTCATACAAATTTATAACAGTGTCAACCAGTTTTGGTAATCTTTTATTTTATTTGTTCATTTGATTTCTTCGCTCCTCGGCATAAATTATTATATTTTATATTTATTTAATATGATTTTGAAATATAAATATTTTAAATTTATGTGAATTTTTATTCAAATTTATGATTATATTTTTAAAACAATGGTGAATAAATTAAAGTTATATTAAAACTTTATTATGTAATAGACATATTTTATTATATACATAATAAATTAAAGTCCAAATTTTATATTGTATTGTTATTTATAGCATGCATATTTTACTGTATAAATATATATATTTTTTTATTTAGTAGATATAACCCTAAGTATTGATAAAATATTTATTATTTAAAAATATCGAAATATCTATTTAAATGCATATTCTTACAATTT